AGAGCTCACATCTACGGAACAATATCTAGTACTCAATCTCACTTAATGGAATGACTGAAGTAAAATTCTGGGAGGGATGAGAAATAACAAAACAACTGCCTGACAATTTTCAGAGGTTTAGGGTTATTTTTGCGATGTTTTACGGGAAGTTTGGTTTAAAACTAGAAATACTTCTAAAGGGATTCGCAGGAAATAACTCAACAGGCTAAGGGTTAAGCATAATTTAATTCCCAATAATAAAAGAAGACGTTACTTTGTTGTAGCAAAGCTTAGTTTCTCTAAATTGGCAACAAATCCACTATTCTGCTAAGTTTCAAATGTAAACAAATATGGCTGCTATGGTAAACAAATTAGGCTTAGCCATACTTACACAACTTTTAAATATAATTCTACAACTAGATCATGCAGGTTAACTAAAGACATAAAAACCTTAACCGGATGATAAGAACAACATAATTCAATCCTTTTTAAAGCAAAATATGCACAATTTACAATTACAAACATACAAGAATAAAGAAAGTAAGCTCGCTGAGCTGAGTAACAGAGTGGATATATATATATATATATATATATATACATTTAAATATACTTTTGGTGCAGCCGATTGCAACCAAAATGGGAGGTGCACATCTACATGTTATAGCAGGCCTTTTATGCAAAATTTCAGTGTTCTGAGGCTACTTGTTTTTGAGTTATGCGAGATACATACGTATGTACAGACGCCATGAAAAAATCTCTTTAGAATCCATTTAAAATCAGTTTTATAATTTTTTTGGGAAAAAGAGTCCTTTATTTCGTCCTCGTGTACAGATGTGATGCAAAAACATCATTAAATTGCATTCAATAGCGGTCAAAATGGATATTTTCGTTGAAATATGACACCCAAAATTTTTTGCAATTACAATACTTCCTTTTTACTTTGTACAAGGAACTAAAAAGGACAACACATCTCACAAGAGACTAAATATTTAAACATTAACACACATGAGCAGATGCCAGACATCAGCCACGTATAGGCAATAAAAAGTGATAAAAAAGCAGTACGTAAATCTTGGTGAAAAAATTCAAGTTTTTATCCTCGTGCTATGGTGAGCACATATGAATATTGAGCAGCAAAGATGAATGTTCCCACCTCACTGCAATGAGGATTTCTGCCATAGTACTCCCCCCTCCATGTGCAGAGGCAATAGAGGTCAGAGATACCTTGGGTTAAACTTGACCCTTCTGCTAGAACAACCAGGTGGTGTTTCGTTGGCTGGCACAGGTGTTTCAACTGTAGTGCCCGATGAATTTACTGTAAAGAGTCTGTTCAGGAAAGGAAACTGATGATAGAGTGTCTAGAACTAAAAATGCTGGTTTCAGGTAATCAATGCCAATCACAAATTCCTTTTTTTTAATGAGAAGTGTAAAATTTTTATTAATGAAAAAATAAAAAGTAATAAGAGTAATAAGAAGTGTAAACCTTTTTATTACTTTAAATGGGCAAATTGGGTAAATTAAATTAATACGGGCAAATCAATGGGGGTTTAAATGCATCGGGCCTCAGAAACACGCGTGTACATGACTCTAAAGCTGGGGACATGGAAAACTTATGGCTAACACGAGCTGATATCAGTACTCGGGACATCTCTGTCATTGCCTCACACAGTTCCTGTATAAATGAAGTCGGGTTAACAAAATAGAAACCTGTGGGAATTGGGAAAACTCCACGGGAAGGCAAGTAGTAGTTCTGTAGACCATCTCTGAGCAGGTTCCACCCAGATCTTCCTTGTATGTTGATCAAAGACCAAGAAGCACAATTGGAAGACTCACCATCCATTGAAATATTATCGCTAATCAACGCCTGTGGTGAATTGTGAAATCTCTTAAGTAACCCATTTGTTGCAGGGTGGTATGAGGTAGTCTGAGTTTGATGAAAACCAAGAAATTTATTAAGAATACTGAATATGCATGATCCAAATTGTTGGCCTTGATCGGTACTTACGGTGATGGGAACTCAAACCTTAGCAATTCAATAGGTGAAAAATGTTTGGGCAACCATTTTTGTCAAAATATCTTTCAATGGTATTGCTTGCTGCCATCAGAAAAATCGGTCAATGAGATTTAAAAAGTAGGAATATCCTTCCAAGGGTGACAGGGGCCTGACTATAATTAAATGCACATGCTCAAAACATTGACTGGGTATGGCGAAGGACTGCAATGGGCTATGAGTATGACATATAACTTTGGACTGCTGGCAGTCGATGTAAGCATGAGTCCAGGCAACAAACTCCTTTGACACAGAAAACAAACAATCAGTCTTTTTGTTAGTCATATTCTTGGGTAAGAAAGTCCATGGGATGAATCAAATGCTGCCCTGCAAAGTTGGCTGGAAACAAACAGACCTATCTTGTCACCACTTACATCATAATATATATTTAATCCAGGAGACAATTCAATCTTTTGTAGTTTTAATGAGTTACTTTCAGTGGACAACATGTGATTCAGTTCAGGATCATTATGTTGAAATTCAGCAATCTGTGCAAAACTTGTTACATCCAGCTTATTAACAGCAGTAATTCCTCACAATGTATCTGCTACAATATTTTCTGGTCCAGAAACATATTGTATGTTGGCACTGAATTGGGCAGTATAAATATAATTCATATGCTTAAGCTTCCTGAGTGAAACATAATATGAATTTTTTCTGAGCAAAAATATTAGAGGACAATGATCTGTATATATTGTAAAACCTTGTTCCTCAAGATTATGTTCAAAATGTCTTACAGGAGAGTAGATAGCGAGTAATTCTCTATCTTATGTACTGTATTTAGTTTCAGCTGGAGTCAATTTTCAGGAGAAAAAAGCCTGTGATTGAAGGTCATTATCGTGTTGCAAGTGCAAAATGGCTCCAATAGCCATATCTGAGGCATCGATCATTAATGGCAACTGCTGACCGAGAGCATGGTAACAAAGTGTCACTGAATTTAGATCACTTTTTATATTTTTCGAAGGCCGCAGTTGTTTCTGTCCAAGCATTGGCATGTTTATATTTCTTCTTAGAATCTTTAAAAAGAGTGTGAAGTGGAGCTTGGGTAGTAACTGCTTTAGGCAAAAATCGTTATAAATTCTACACTGCCAAAAACCTCTTTAATTCAGATATTATTACAGTATTAGTGAAGTTAGATATCAACACAGTTTTTTTTTTTCTTTTTTTTTTTCAGAAACCTGAAGGGGTAATTTAGCAGCCAAGAAATGATAATGATGACTTTCCCCAGAATTCATGTAGAAGGATTCAGTTTTAACCTGTATTTTTGCAATCTATCAAAAAACAAACGAATGTGGCTCTCATGCTCATGTTCATTTGCTGACACCACAAGCAAATCATCAAAGTAAGAAACACAGAAGTCTAAGCCAGAAAGTACTTAATAAATAAATATATCTCTGGAATGTTTGTCCTGTGTTTTGCAAACCAGACAGAACTCAAATAATCCAAATCACAGTTTGTTTGAGGCACATCCTCTGGGTTAACAGGGATTTGATGGTATGACCTAGCTAAATTAAGTGTTAAAAAAAATATTTTTTTCAAAATTAAATCTGCATACAGTCCTGAATATGTGGAATGCAATACCAGTCAGGAACAGTCACAACATTCAAGTAGCGATAGTCACTGTAAGGGTGCCAGTCACCATTACCCTTATGGACCATGTGAAGAGGGCTGGTCAAAGCCATCAGAAAGGCCTAAGAATCACAAATCTTCAACTAACAGTTAAAACAAACTTTATTTAACATTTAAAAAAGTACATCTCGCAAGAGGCTAAATACTTAAACATTTACACACTCAAGCTGACACCAGACATCAGCCATGAACAAACAGGCTTTAAAAAATTCAAGTTTTTATCCTTACGCTATGGTGAGTATATATGCATAACTGTGCAGCCCAGATGAATGTTGCCACTAACTGCAATGAGGATTTCCGCCATAAAGCTTAAGAATCAGGATTACTGAAACTGAAAGCATTATGTCCATTATTCATTCAAAGTTAGATTCCTCTTCATGGCTAAGTTTGAAAAATTTATTTTTGTTACCCCAGAATATGACAAAGAACTTGCAAATGATGAAAAAGGTTTCTTAAAATCTATTAGACTAGTGTTGAAAAAGGACTTTACTACAACTGAAAACAAGTGTACATTCAGATGTTCTAGATTAGGCCCCATGCACCCCTTTCATCATTGCTAGATGACCATTTTCTCCTTCTTCCCAAAACTAAAAAAATACATATACATTTATTTAAATAATTTTTGAAACTTGAATAAAAGCAAGCAGTTTTTTATATTCACAAACTAAAAACTAAATACTTGACAGGTAAATAAAAGGTGCATTCCCCTCCATGGAATTCTGCCTTGGTTGAAAACCCCTGTTTTATATCATTACAAAACATGGTCTCCACCCTCTTCTCAATTTAAAAGAGGTTTCTAATGCCTACAAAAGCATTAAAGAAAAATTAAATGATCAAGCATATTGCTGTACTTTGAGACTTCTGTATCAGCCAGAACAGAAGGTGTAACTCAACCTTGAAACTGAGACAGAAAGAAACAAAAAGTATTGATGCTAACAATTTGCTTGCTTGGTGATTCAGAGGTATAACTAAATGACTCTTTTCCTCTCCCCTTCTTTTCTAACCCCAATTTTCTAAATATTCAACTTAATCTACTTTCTGAAAACTCAGCCTAACATATCATCATTAATACTGTTAGCATTCCTGTGTGCATGCAAACTTCTAAATTGGAATCACACTCATATATTATAATGATCTAAAATTAATTTTAAAACCTTTACAAAAAATACTCTTATCTCTTTAACAAACTGAAATTTGATGTCTGAGCTAAGTATGTTAAAAAAAAAAAAAAAGTTAAGAACTTTACATTCAAGAAAAAAAATTAAAAGTTTTTTTTTTTTTTTTTCCCCCAGCAAACAGGAAAATTCATAATAAATGCGATTAAAAGAAAAATAATACTAACCTCTTCTTCCCTTTTCCTTGCATTTTCTTGCTCTTCTTCCCAAGCAGCTAATATTGTATCTTTGTACTCCTTACATATTATAAAGCCATCAAAACTATAAAAAAATAATTAACTATTATTAATGATTAGAAAATGAAACTGCAAAAATGACTTCAAATTTTATGATTATTTACTGACACATTTAATTTATAGTTGATGATTATAAATAAAATTACAAATTTTAAATAATAGGTTTTCAATAATTTTTATATCCAAAGCAATATAAGTTATTTAATATTACAGAATTCATTTTCAAATTATATTTATTATTTTAATGGAAAAGCATTTAAAAACACATTCTTCATGCACTAATATGAAAAATGCATTCGCAAAATTGAACAAAAATAAAAACTTGTGAAACACAGCATGGATAGAATTTCTAGGAATTAATAATAACTTGATTGATATAATGATTTTAAGTAATTAAAAGTTTTAAAATACATAAATATAAAATACTTCAAAATTTTTTATCAAAATTTTGTTTTACACAAACATTAAATGCACAAGATACTAAATTACATCAATGATCTTTTTAATAAAAAAATAAATACATTAGTTTTATTAATAGCAGTCATTAGTTTTTTATCAGATTTGAGTGTATAAGTGTTTGAATGAAAAATTTGCAAAAAAATATGGTTAAAACAAATCGATTCTGCAATTATAATGTAATGTTTAAAAAACAACTGCACACAGGTTTCCAAATATATGCACAAACACTTTTAAAAGTAAGAAATGCTATAGCAATTAAAGAAAATTAATGCAAAATTTGTTTTGAATTTTATTAAAAAATTTTCAGACTAAAAAGAAGTTTAAAAATAAACGATAAATTTTGTGTTATACACATACATACACTATAGGGACAAAAACTGTCAACTAGCACCTATAATAAAAAGACATCATAGGTCCACCTACACCAGAAAAAGTGTTATCATTTACTGAAATGTGACAGTATATTATCAGTCTACCTTAGCTATAATACTTAATTATGGCCAAAGGCAGACTTATAATATGTCCATACATTTCAGTTATGAATTAATAATATACACATTCATGCCCAAAGCTTTTGATAATACAGTCAGTACTCAATTAACTGAGGCTAATTAACTCAGCCTTCTCTTTTTTAAAAAATTAAGTTTATTTAAATAACATTGATGTCACAGCATTTAGGAACCATTTTTATCAATAACATATTCAACTCCCGTATTTAATTGTAAATAATCTGGAATAAATAACATTAAAAAAATACTGGCAAATCATTAATACTATTTTTCTGTTAATTATAATGCATCGTATTCCTCTTTGCTGCTTTTTTTCACTGCTGTAGAATTAATCATAAGTTATCTGTGGACATTGCTCTCAGAATTTCTCTGGTAAACAGAGTATTTACTATATAACGAATACTTTCATAGGGTAATACAACTTTCCTTTATTAAACAGTCACCCCTGAAAGTGACTAGAGTTCTTCAGATACATTAAAGATCACATTTATCATTACATTCATTATCTTTTCAAAATTATGAAATATGTATCAAGACAACTACTAAAATCTCTCTTCATTGTCAAACTAAAATATTTCACTTCGTTATCAAACTAAAATATCTCATTTCATTATCAAACTAAAATATTTGATGCACATATTTGATAATCAAGGCATTGCATTTCCAGACCAGCATATTTTAATATTCTGAGAATGTAACTGGATGAACACTTCAATTCATAACACAGGGCAAACTCACAAATGACATATTATTTTACAAAATATAATTCATGGAAACCAATTTAAATAAAGTTTAAAATTTTATGACATTTTTCCTCATGCAATTTATACAAGAATTTATCACTATTTGTATATACATTTATCACCAAAAAGCATATTATATCTCATAAGAATGCACAAAATTGCCATATACCAAGAGGATATTCTGAGATACCAAGAAGATTTGCATGATAAATATAAATCAATTAAAAGAATTTCATACATACACAGGATGAACACTTCCTTTATGGCCATCAAATCCTACCACTGCAGGACTGCAATCAATGCCCAGCTTACGGGCAATACGATTCAATCCAGGAACTTAAAAAGAGAAAAAAAGGCATATTTCTAAAAATAACATTCTCCACACAGCAAATACTTCTCAGAAAATATCAGAACACACACAGATAATGAAGAAAGGACACCTTTCATTAACGTAAAAGTGATAAAAATAACAATTTTTAACCAACTGAATGTGATTGTCCCACAATTTAACAACAAAACCGTTATCTTCATATACCAAATTTAAAATAACAGAAATTATTAAAAAAGTTTAATACTTTAACATAATTCTATCAATACTGATAATAATTTATCTTAAAAATTATATGTTTCCAATGTAATGATAGTTCCAATGTAATAATTCTCGCCGTAATCTTCAATAAATCTGACAGAGAATAATATATACAATTCATTTGTATGTTAACAAGTACTCTCTCTTTCTGTTACCAATAATATAGAAAATATTCCAAATGTAATGAGTATCAGTATATGTAAAGCTACCCCCCCCCCCGAAAAAAAAAACGTCTCGTCCAAACAAGTCTTACGTAGCAGAAAAATAACATGTTGGGTTTCTACAAGTATATATAAACTCTTTTAACTAACTAAAATCACAGTAAATATTTTTAGGGCTCTTGATTTGGGAAAGGGGATTAAATTTTGCAAAGTGCTTTGAATATTCTGATTTTGTGATCAGTTATGCTTTATAACAATTTCAAAATTCAGCACATATTTTATGAATGTGTCGAGATGTTTGTGTAGTATATATATTACACTAACTACTTAACAATATATAACAAATAATGCATTTTATTTAGAAAAATACAAGTTATTTCTAACAAAACACTTATAATTAAAGGTAACTGTAATTTTTGCTGAAAATTATCGAAAGATCCCTAAACGATTACTATTATGGCTAACAGCAAATATAAAAAATTAATTATGAAAATCTTTACCAATTTAATCTTTCAGAGTTCAGAAATTATAAATTAAGAGAAGAACACTACTTGAAAAATGCATGCACAATTATGATTCAATGTTTTATAACAAACAATAAAAGTGAGTGTCCTTATTACAAGATAACCAAAAAGGTTCTTGTCATTTTGGACAGTTAGAAAGAAAGAGTCATACAACAAATAATAATCACCGCTAATCCCCAAAGTAATTCATATCAGCATCTAATGTCTTTTGCCAATGAGTGGCTAGCTGTGCAATGACAACGTAGTAAAACTCAGGAATCTTGGACGTAAAGAAGTTCGTGAGGGCCTTTTCGAGGTCTGGCCGGTTGTTGGAGGATTTCCCATGAAGATGGTTGTCGAGGGAATGAAAAAGGTGGTAGTCTGTTGGCACGAGGTCTGAGGAGTATGGTGGACAGGATAGTGTCTCCCAGCTCAGTCGCTACATGGTGTCCCTGGCCTCCCAAGCCACGTGTGGCCTCGCATTGTCATGAAGGAGGAACAGACTCTTACGATTGATCAATGCTGACTCTTTATGCATCAGTGCATGATGAATATGTTCCAACTGCTAGTACTGGCCTGCCATGATGGTTTGGCCTACTGGCAGCAGCTTATAGTGCTCTACTTGGCGACAAGTCCATAAGATACAGAGTATAATCTTGCGTGGGTGGACAGAAGGTGTCACAATGTGAGGCATAAGGTTTCGTGGTGACAACCAATGTCTGGAATGCCTGGGTGTGTCATACTGGACTCACTTTTCATCGCTTGATCAAATATGAATGCACTGCGGTGTCGAGTAAGCAATGACAAACAGGCAGCGACACGCTATTGCTTGTTTGCATCAGACAGTGAGTTAGGTACACTTGCTCACATTATATGTCTTTCCTATGCAGTGCAAATGGAGTTTGATTGTTTCATCAGATACCTGGAAGTGTGCAAAGCTCACCATATGTTTGGTTACTGTCACTCTCTATAGTACTCTCAGGGTCTCGTCATTCAGCGCTTGTGGCCAATCACTGTGTGATGCATCACTAAGAGACATATCCCCTGACCTGAAATTCTGGAACCATTGCCTAAATGTTCATTCCTTAATGGCATTATCCCCAAAGGCTTGGCAAATTCAGCGATCTGATTCTGCTGCTGACAGGCCCACTTTAAAATCATATAGCAAACAACTCCGAACGAGCGCCTTCTATGTGCCCATTTCAGTATGTCGTTGTGCGAATTATGTTTGAAGTACCGATGCAATGCACTTTTATACTCTTGGTTAATGTCAGATTCCCATCCCCAGGTTTGGCGACTATTTTTATGTTGGGGTTTACTCTTCCAATGTCATATCAGAAACGACAAGAACTTTTTTGGTTACTTTGTATTAACAACTGCCTACTGCTTTCTGAACTTAAAAACTTTAAATTTATAATTTATTCACTTTTCTGTTTATTACTTTACTGTTTCTGGCTGTCTAAATTGGATAAAAGAGTGATGATCATTAGATCACAATATCAGGTTCATTACATTTCCAATAGATTTCATGGTTATATAATATTCCCCACAGTTCATTTTGCCTCACCAGTCCAAAAATCTTCCTTAGAATTTTTCTTTAATATCAGCATCTTTCTCTGTCTTGTTGAATGTCCAGCATTTGTTTCTGTATTGGGCCACAGATTTTTTCAAAGTCTTATATAAACTTATTTTGGTTTTTATGTTAATTAATTTGGATTTAAGTTGGTTTCCAAGTCCATAAAATCATGTTGGCCCTGTATAGAAAGATAGATATCCTGTTTTTAATTTCAGTTTTAATGTCATTGCAGTTTGAAATTATTGTACCCAGATAAATTTTGTCTTATCCTCATTGATGGTTAGACCCATCTTCCCTGCTGCATATTCAAGTAAGAAAAATGCCTCAACAACAGCCCGTTTGGATTGTCCAATGATATCAATGTCATTGGCAAAAGCTAGCAGTTGAATTTTCTCTGTAGAATAGCTCCACTTGTATTCAGTTGAGAGTCTTACATGGCCTTTTCCACTGCTTAGTTAAACAACAGACAAGAAAGTGAGTCTCCCTGTCACAGACTTTTCTTAGCATAAAAGGCTCTCAGAAAAATGACAAAATCTTAATTCTGCAATTCATACTCTTAAGCGTGATACTTGTAAATATATACAGTCAAAAGTCGTTAATTCGGACACCCATAATCCGGAATGATCTATAATCCGGACCTCAAAGCTACAAACTTTCTGCGCATGCGTCGCATTGACGCATGCACGTAAGACCTTTACGGCTGCGAATATGCGTGTGCGCATGCGCAAAATATGTTTACCTATGCGCGTTTAATGTATAATGGACAGTATAACCTAAGCTAAAATTATCTAATTCAGTTAATGTTGCAAATAGCGCTGTTTCTTAATCTTCGAATTCGATCCGGCTTATTATTTTTTGCAGACTGTTAGAGCAATTTTATAAAAGCATACTTGAACTTTCGATTATGTCAAATAGAATTTCCGATATATATTTACTAATATGTAAAGGATCTACAAAGCGAAAGTATGTTTCGAAGTCCATTAAACAAAAGTGGAATTGCTGCAAAAAATGACCTAACCATTCTGAAATCTGTTTATCAATTTCATGCTGCTCTGCGGGGGGGGGGGGGACGCTGCGGCACGCAATGAATTGGAAGTTGATCTGTCAGCACTATCCTCATTTTCAGGGCAGATATTTTCATTTTATTTGGCTTATAATTTCCTTACTAAATGTAGTATTTCATCTCAATGTATTCCGTCTTTGATATGATTTAAATCAAATTCCTCGTCATTATAATTTGCTTCCGATAGTGAAGAAAGTGACACAGAGGTTATTGAAAACAAAAAAATTTCGATTGACAAATTAGTTGGTATTCTCGACACAGCAATTATAGGACTTGAACAGCGGAACATTGTAACTGAACAAGAAATTATGTCTGTTTATAGAATTAAAGAGAAAGTATTATCACATAAAACAAAGCAACTTAAACAACTTACATTGAAAGAAATGTTTAATAAAGCAAACAAATAAATATTAAGCTCTTTTTTTTTTTGTAAATTTTGATACCCTTTAGATCATAATTGTTCTTTATTTCATAAATTACGGTTTCATATTTTTAATTTTATAATTTCTGCATGCCATCTTACCAGATTTAAACTGATGATCTGTAATACGGAAAAATCGATATTCCAGAATCGCCGAAGTCCCGACGAGTCCGGATTAACGACTTTTGACTGTATACGACGTTTGACTGCACATAATATACTACTTAACTTCATCTGTAAAGTTGAGGATAAAGGGATAGAAAAGTTGTAAAGTGAGAATAAAGTTGAGGATAAAGATAGTAAAGTTGAGGATAAAGGACGCTTAAGAGTATGAATTGCAGAATTAAGATTTTGTCATTTTTCTGAGAGCCTTTTATGCTAAGAGAAGTCTGTGACAGGGAGACTCACTTTCTTGTCTGTTGTTTAACTAAGTATACAGTCAAAAGTCATTAATCCGGACACCCATAATCCGGAATGATCTATAATCCGGACCTCAAAGCTACAAACTTTCTGTGCATGCGTCAACGCATTCGTAATACCTTAACGCATGCGCATAATACGTTTATGCATGTGCATTTAATGTATAATGGATGGTATAAGCTAAGCTAAAATTATCTAACTATCTATTTCAGTTAATGTTGCAGATTGCGTTGTTCCTTAATCTTCGAATTGGATCCGGCTTATTAATTTTTTGCAGACTGTTAGAGCAATTTTATAAAAGTAAGTTGGAACTTTCGATTATGTCAAATAGAATTTCTGATGCTGGATCTACAAGGGGAAAGCATGTTTCGATGTCCATCAAACAAAAAGTGGAGTAGCTGCAAAAAATGGATAAAGGCACCTTTGTTTCTCTAACCATTCTGAAATTTGTTTATCAATTTCACGGTGCTCTGCACGCGGGGGGGGGGGCATCGCGCCGCACAATGAATTGGAAGTTTATCTGTCAGCACTATCCTTATCTTCAGGGCAGATGTTTTTATTTTACTCGGCTTATAATGTAGTATTTTATCTCGATGTACTCCG